CGATCGACCGTGCGAGATTTAATTAACACCATCTCGTTAACTTTTGTCGCGACCTATCGTGCTCGCATGACGTTATCTCTCATGAAGATGAGCTTGCTTGCTCCATCAAGTGGATCGCTTGTATCGGTGAATTAACTACACACGTTGTTCTTTTTTTCGCGCTGTTCAGTTTGTTCACGTTATCTTAATAATGCACCTCAATAATGTGTGAAATATCACACTACGGAACATGCATTTTTTTTTTCACGCAAATCATTAATTTTTATATTCTACTTATTTTCTAAAAATAAATTTGTTTCATTAAAAGTATCGAAAGAAATTAGATTAGATTTGAATCGGATAAATTTATTTATACGATATAACTAATATACATATTGATGCTTATATCTTGTTTTTAGCTCACAATTTGTCAATTTAAATGAAATTATTTCTAGATAGCCTGTATGATAGAACACTTCGATACATATATTGAAGCTTATATCTTGTTTTTAGCTCACAATTTGTCAATTTAAATGAAATTATTTCTAGATAGCCTGTATGATAGAAGACTTCCATACATATTTCAAAATCTGTCACGCGATTGATATTGATCCATGGAGACGAGATAAAAGTTATTAAAAGCGATGATAATCGATGAGGATGGATGATATTATAACATTACAGTGAAGCGGTTTACTCATAAATTTTGTTTACTCCGCCAAAATCGAAAAACCGCGAGGCATCGCTAGGGCGTGAATATATTGACACGAATGTAGTTCTAGCATCAGAGCAATATTTATTTTTCCGGAAATTTTTACCACACGGTGAGCGAGTACAAGTATTGAATATCCGTCATATATGTATGCAGCACTCTTTTTGCGGACAAATTACAAATATATCATCTTGAAAATTCTAAAATTCTAAAATTACATTTCTGTTCGTTAGCACTAAGTTGATATTGCAAAATATTTTATTATAACATTTATTTCACGGATACGCACGATTCTATTAATATTTCATGCGTATTAAATGAATTTTTATTTTTACTAAATAATGATTCATTGCAACTTTATTTCTAGTAACAAACAAAGAATCTATTAATGATTTAATTTCTTCCATAATAGAGATTTTTTAAATTCTGAAGACTTAAAGATATATTCTTCTTTAGAAACAATGCAAAGTAGAGTAATGCTCGCGTGATTCTAGTGATGATAAAAAGCGGAGAAAGAGATGCGCTACGAAGGAAAGGTAACGATTTCCGTTTAATTTACCTCGAAAGAGAGCTTCCACGTGTCATAGAACGAGTGCTATCGAAAGTTCAAAGTAGCAGTCGATAGAAAACAAACGGGTCCATCGCCGCACCGTTTATAGACGTCGCGTTCGAGATCAGAGAAGGAAGGCTTCGGCTTCCTAACGACCATTCCGTTCGATTGCAGTGATTACAAAGTCGATTGTTAGTGACTCTTTGAAGCTCAATTATTCTTGGTAATGGCTCCTCCATTTAATTACAGATATACATACGTAGCAGCGCCTCCGTACATTGCGATCTCGGAAGCATACTTTAGAGTTGGAATACATAATGCAAATAATTGAGGCACTGACGCAAGTACAATCTCAAAATAAATCTTCAACAAGCGAGAAATATTACTGTGTGCATACATATGCTATTTGCAATTATAAAGTGAATAAAATTCACGAACGCGTTCTGTCATATTTTTATTGAAATCAGAGCAAGTATGATCAGCCATAGTCTATACCGACAGATATATTAAGATACTCGAAACTCTCTTGTGTCCTTGCTTCGCTCTCGCTCCGTAATCTACGATGTAGTTTTGTCTTCATTTGCTAAATGATCGGTAAATCCTTGCGACGCGACGTCGTCACTGACTATAGGAAAGATGGTTTAACATCACGGCATCCAACTATCATGGGGACGATATCATGGATACGATGAAACTTAACTGCGATGTAAACCTACTTTGACTATCCTGGATGCTGCTAGATGAACATCGTTTCTCACTAATACGAAATCGCACGAACCATTTAACAATTCTCCGAGTGGAATTACGTGCCGCGACCATGATATGTTTTTGTAAGCAAATGTGGAGAATTTGTCTCACGACGTTGAATAAAATTTAATATCTCAGTTATAGTTTAGTATTAGTATTCATAAGAAAATAATAAATATAAGTTTTAAAGAGAGAGAGAAAAATCGAGAATTACTTTGTTTTTATATATATACAACACGAATTTATAATATTAGAAATCATAAATTATATGAATTTTTCTTTCAACTTTTCTTTTTTTAATGTTTCTTTTAAATTTTATGAGTAATTTTTATGAGTAATTTTTAAATAGAAAAAAGATTTATTTATTTATTTATTTTTAATGCAATAGGCAAAAATACAAATTTGTTACAAAGCTTCATAAGCAAAAATAAATATTTTAAATATACGTCTTCAAATAAAATTAAAATTTCATTTCACGCAACTCTTTTTAACATAAAAATATGAATTCTCGAGATGAAAAAAAAATATCTGATATTGCCAAAAAGGAAGAAGCGCGAGACTTTCAGACTGTCACTTTCCCGACCTGCAGAAAACAACATTCTTGAAACGAAAGACTGGTCGTGGAAATTGGATTGTCCTTCGAAAGCCCCTGGGGTGTCATGCGTAGGAACGCGGGATGATTCATTCAACACTACATTCGTGAAATGTTCTGAAACGCGCGTTCTATAATCCTGTAGAAGAGAGTAAGCTATAAATAGAAACGAAATTTCGTGCGTGTTGGTAGATTCTCTCGTGAGAAGATTTTATGGATCGTTTAAAATGCATTTTTGCCATATGAAACATTCAATATTTCTTATCGGATTTATATCGGAATTGTGCATATCTCATGTGTTCGCTGAACAATAATAAGATTTAAATATAATATCATTGAACTAGATTATATTTCTGTTGTTTATTATTAAATTATAGGAATAATCGATGACGATCTAATATCGAAGAAGCAGAAATTACATTTACATTTATCGTTTATCAATATCCGGACATACTCTCTAAAAGTGAATCAGTGTATTATCACTGAAAAACAGTAAATGGTCACTGATTGCAGCAGTTATAAGTATAGCACTGTAAATCAGTGATATTTTATTGAAAGAATCGGTTAATAATTTTGACTGTTTCAATCAGTAATATTTCTCAATTTCAGTAATATTTTTTTCTAACGTCAGTAATATTAAACTATAATTCATCTCTTCATAATTTTCATTAAGTCGTCAGACATTTATTTGTCCGACTTATATAAGATCGATTTAATACCTGAAGTCTCTCTATTGAGATTGTATCAGAAATTAAATCGAAGTAATACTTTTAATTTTATCTGTCGCTCTTTTCAAACTTTATATAATTCTTATGACTAAACTAAATACGAAAGAGATAGCGATCGTAGCTGTAAACGAATGAACTAGCGATTATTGGTTTTACAGTGAAATTTACTGGTTTTATAGTGAATTTTATTTTACCTGATCATAATCAGTGAGATATAAGATAAAATAACAAAAAAATAAGCGTTTTCACTGAAAATCAATAAAATACTCACTGATTCTCAGTGAAATCTTATTTTACTGTTTAAATTAGTGATATTTTCACTGATTCACTTTTAGAAAGTACATAAATGATGAACGCCTGCAATTATGTTATACTAATCGAAATGGTGTACATATGAACAAATGTTATTACTAATATTGACACGCGGAAGAACAAATGTTGTAGATATTTTAAATATAATTCGTGTTAGAAAAATGGAGAAATCCTACGAATACTCACGTGCGCGTAATTACAAATTGCCTCGGCCACTCGAATTTAAAAGTGAAATAACGAAAGTAAATAAAAGTTAGCGTTTGATGTTTATATGAACTTTTCTCATTATTTTGTTTAGTAGAACTCTCTCTCTCTCTCTCTCTTTCTTTCTCTTTCTGGCAAAGTTAGATTAAACATTTTAGAAACGCTCTGTATACGCCGGCTAATCATGGATATACATTCAACATTTATTCATGCAATTACAAGGAACAAGAGAAGCTACTCTTTAAATGGATGTAAAATTCACGAGATTACGCGATACACAATTGTCACACACACGAAAACTTGTACCTTCTTGTCTCGCAATTGCGAGTAAAATGCAATCCTCCGCGGTAGTCCTTTTGCGACTTTGACTTTGCTGCTTCTAATACCGCTACTCTAGTGACAAAAAAAATTTTATCATCTCTCTTTGCTTCTTTCCGACGTTATAGTGCTCGTCGGAACGTACTCGCAAGAAAATACACCGACGGTGCCAGGATAAACTCGCGTCGTAGCGCAAATGTAAAATGACATGAACATTAAATAAAGCCTAGAATAGCGACAACATTCTGCGCGTCCTGCAAAGCCTCTTAGATAGAAGTAAATTGTAAGTCTCTTACCCGACTGGTCAACGCCATAAGCACTTTCGTTTGGTCGGCAAAAACAGCTTGGAGCGTAAGGAGATTAGAGTCGTTATAGCGTCAGCCCCGGAGGACAAAAGTGGAGGAAGTTTCATGCGAAAGTCGCGACCCTTGTCTAACGTTTCACCATCTCTCGCAACGCAAACCGTGCAAAGTGACGGAAAGCCGGCTACCGCTACAAAAGAATCACAGTCGGGATGTACTAAAGTACAAGTTGCGTAACGGTGCAGACGACGTTGAGCTTGCGCGAGAAAGGAATAATTCACGCGACGAAAATGCGAAGAAAGTCTCGCCATGTCGCGGTGTTATACGGCAAAAGAATCTCGTCTGTAACGATGGAACACAGTCCGGATTTTTCTCTGCGTCTGAATGAAAAATTCTTTGTTAACTATTGCAATTATTGAAATTCGTGGCAATTAATATATAAATTAATTCAACGTTATATTTTCTGACATGGGATTATTCTTCGAAAAATACATTTCATTTCTAAGATTAATGTTAAATGAGTACTAAAGATATATTTCAGATATATTGTACTTACAGTGATGCGTCAGACTGGTGGTCAAAATCTGCTTATTAGCCTCCGCGTATTCAGCAGAGCTGAAAACAGGAAATAAGACAATTTCAAATATTTGTTAATATTGTTAAAAGGTTGATAATTAATTCAAGCGAAAGTACCACTAATTGTCGATGTAAAAATCTTTTTTTTTTTCTAAATAATTTCCGCCACATTAATATTAGTTATATGTGCAATAAAAATAGCTTAATAATTATGAAATTTCTCGGTACAGATAAATCTCAGTTTATACGAGTCTCGAGGATTAATGCAGCTACTTTTCTTAGAAAGCACGGTAGGAATGCTTGACTAGATATGTATGCAAAGCAACCCGCATTTTATTTTAGATGTCTGTTGCTTCTACACGCTATGCGGTAATCTACATAAAGATAATTTTAATATGTAAAACTTTTCGCACGCGCGCGTGCACGTATTTATCTTTACATAGGCAACGTATAATTTTAAGAAAGCGAAATAAAAGATGATAAAAACATATGCGCATAAATTTTTTACGCGCTAAATCGCGCGAAAATATTATACTAAATTATCTTAATTTAAAATATTGAACAATATTGTCGATATAATTACTCTGTTAAATTAAAAATATAAATATATAACGTATAAAATTACTTGCTGCAAAAATATAGAAAAAATATAATCTTGTAATATTTGAATAGGGTTTTTTTAATAATCCGATACATGATATAAATGAGAGATATATATCAGATTTCCAAACGGATGTCTCGGCTAACTCGTTTGTACTGGTGCATGTTTGATGCCGGAAGTGGCTCGACTTCGAAGCCCCACCGTCATCCTCTCGCAGCGGTTTCCGCAAGCTCCGTAGGGTCATTAGCCAACCATTCATTATGCAACTGCGAGGCTGTATTGCGTCAATATGGGGGCGGCAGATTGTTGGCCCAATCGATAACAATGCGCCGTGTTTACCAGTCGGATAATCAACAGATGCAGCTTGTGCTGCTTCGCCTTCGAAGACCAAGCAAGTGGGAATTACGGTCCGCCTCGCTCCGAATGATATTGCGTTCCGGAAGTGTTACCTTTCCTCGTATCTCCCCGTCTGTCGGTGATCCGACATCGATTGCTGCCGCCTCTCTATCTTGCAAGTGCCTTTTAGCCAGAAGCGAGCACAATTACGAGCTCATCAACGCTAAATGATACACGCGATCGAAAATCTATTTGGATTTGTAGCCGAATCGTGCAGATATCGTTACTTGTTTGATCGAATTATTCCGATATGATTTTCCACTCTGCAATTTACATGGTTGAAGTAATTTGGATGCATACATCGGCTTTGTAATCATATATTTATAATTATGGATGAAATGTACTGATTTTCTCTAAAGAATTTACTCAAAGTTAAACGATACGTGTTAAATTACATAAAAAAATATGACGATATATTAAACGAGATATTTAAAACGAGCAAAAGAGCCAGAAATCGTGATATAAATCAGTAATAGTCTTAGAATGATGAAATATTTCATCGAGATTAATTGCATTAAACTCGTGTCGTCGTATCACCGACATGACAAGCTATGTATTTTGATGCGTTCGTTAGGAGCTTGCTTTAATCGCGATTGCAGGACGGTCGAGCGCGTTCAATCGACGAATCAAGCTGAACTTTGTACACGACAGCGTCTGTGAAACGACCAAAATGGAGGAAAAGAGAGATGCCGAAAGTACGGGTGTCGTGAGATGAAACGTCGAGCGCGATATTCTCGCGCAGAAGGTCGGCTCCCTTTGATCTAAGTTGCCGGGAATGCGAGGTGAAGGGACAGCATGCGTAGCTGCCGTCCAGAAAGTTGAGAGTAATTTGCTTAGTTGGATTAGATTGTGAATTTTGTGCCGCGGTGTTTGAGCCGCCGTTCGTCTCGTCGCTTCCTCTCCCCCAGCTCTGTCTTTCCATTTCTCTCACTCTAAGTCCACCATCATCGGTCCTTGCCCTCTTCTCTCGCGCTCCACCGCGCCGCCGACCTTATAATTACAGTACCATCTTCAGAGATGAGCTTGCCAATTCGTCGTCCGACACAACTACCGCACTTTGATCCAGCAAGAAGCGGGTATTAGTCGGTAGAATAGACCATCAAAATTCACGACGATGCATAATATTAAACGCCCCATGGATAACGCGGATGATTTCTGATTTTCCGCGCTTTGATCTGCTGGGAATCTGCTTAGAACAATCGCGACAGCGAAACCATGCAACTCTGAATATTATTACTCGGACTATTAATCTATCGTCAAACGCGACGGATATAAACGAATCGTGCAACTTTCAGGATCGTAGAAGGATATGCAAGTGCCGTCTACTGGAACGAGATGAATTTTACGCGAATAAGAGAAATAATATTTTCCTCTTCGTTCGATATAACGTTAGCAAAAGCTTTTATTTGTGTATTTTTAATAATTTACAATCGGAGTAGCAAAAAACTTTCCTATAATTTAATTTACGTTTTATTAAATCTATATTACTTTACAGCGGAGATTGCAGTGTTCGGATCTATTTCGTGTATAATCTTTGCACGCGCGAATCACCTTTTTTTCGAATAATCGCATGAGGTACGCCATGCGATCAGTCGCTGAGAGATCGGTCCGACCCAAATTCCATTAGCGTCGAATTATGCGTGGAGCTTTCGTGATTCGCGTGTAGATCACGATACCGGTAGACGCGTACGTGTATACCCGGACGGGTGCACGCACGCAGAGAGTCGGATATAATCCCGTCGAAACGGTGGTACGTTCCGTATGCACGCTCGCTCGGTGTGTATCTGTGAACGGCGGCGCGGGGGATACCTAACGGCATTGCGAATCCTATACAAGAGACTTCGGGCACGAATGGCGGATCAATGTTTTATCGATATTGCAGCAGACGCAGCACTGATGTACGTCTCGAGTCGGTGATACGTATATTGCGCGTGCTTTCTACCGTTTGCAAGAGGATTTATGGATTAGCGTTTGTTTATCGTCGCCCTTGCTACCATTTTCCTCGTCGGCCGCTCACGTTTTTTCTACCCGGACGATCCGCAGACGCGGAGAGGGGCATTAAAATAGGCGATCCGAGAAAAAGCGATAGAGACTCACGACTCGATACGCCGTACACGTTGCGATTTCCCTTTCCCAGTGTCTTCCATTTTTTTGCTCTCTTTTTCTCTTATTAAATGGAGAATGTTATTCTTTATTTGAAAAGATAGATACAGAGAATGAATGTAATCTGTTTTTTTAAATTTCTTCTGCAAATTATCCTTAAATATACCTTGCATATCATTTATATTCATTTATTATATTTATTTATTCGAATAAAATTTTATATAATTTAATATAAATTGCGAAAAATTATATACTCGATATCGAGTACTGGGAATAAAATGAAGCAATTTTACGATCATAAAATGAGGAAAAAACCGCCTGGCGAGGAAGCAGCAGAATTTCTGTAATGGGTAGAGAAGACATAAACGAAACATGTTAGAGTAGACAAAGAAGCAATGTGCCTAGCTCATGGTTGGGCCATGCATGAACGCGCGCCTAGAATCCGCGATGTCGACAGCAGAGAGAAGGTAGAGACGCCAAGGAGCGGAACGGAGAGAGAAGGCCAGAGAGAGGTTACCGCCGTCAGGAAACTTTTGTTTAAAATTGGAATTCCTTTGCGGCTCGTTGGGACTAGGAATGCAGATAGGGCGGAGGCGACGAAAACCGTGAGCGAGACGAGGTCGCCGGTGGAACGGAAGAAATGCGGGCGGTTGAAAAAGGCGACGTACGATATTGTTTCATCATAAAGGAAAGCTTCTTGCTCGCGGGGGAAAGCTTTTAAGGAGCGACGCCGTCAAAACTTAAGCGTGCGTTGACGCATACCTCTGCCGCGTAAACATTTTCATATACACCGCGGATTTTACCCGTCGTGGATTTTCGCAAATTAGATCGACGTGCGCTTCCGCATATCGATCGTATGCAGCGACTGCTAATAACAGTCGACATGAACGACTAGTAGTAACAGTCACAGCAGTGCCAGACCTGTTAGTAGTAACGAACGATTTTATTCGAACGCTTCGTGTAAAATCTAATGATAATATGTTGTATGATTTTAAATAAAAAAAAGAATCATACACCAATACTTTATTGAAGTTATATCACTTTTTATATCGTAGTTTTAGAGAATGAATCAGATTTGTAATCTTGATTTGCGTGGAACTTGTATATTTCAAATAATTGAACAATTATGTGTTACTTGGCCCGTTGTATGGCAATTGTTTAATTAATTTGCAGGTATCTCACGTACGTCTGGAATCATGTTCCTGGTACGTGTAGCGCTAACGTGGCTAAACGCATTAACCCATAATTATCGAAATTACAGATCCGTGCGTCAACCAACCGAAGAGCCTTCATCCTGTACCGTCTCCTAAAATTCTCTCTCGCCTGCTGTGCGGCCTACTGCGGATATTCGGGTAAGTACCCCATCTCGCTAATTATGTGAACGTAGCCGCCGTTCTCAAATCGTTCTTCTTCCTCTCGCACTGGCTTAAGAACCGACGAACTACGACAGCTTGATCGTTTTAAGAAATTCACTCGCGAGGATTTTCTTGACGGTAATCAAGTCACGCGCGCTGCGTCAATTATGAGTCCGACTCGTTGTTTGCGTAGAGCGAGTTTCAGGAATGTCGAAAGCGCGAGGGTTGCGAATATTTTACAGAAAGTGGCACCTGGCATGGAAGACGCCTTTAATTTGCAGCTTGTACGACGTCGCGAAGGGGCGGGGATGAAGGGTCTCTCGTTGGAATTTCGCATTGGAATCGATCACCCGGAACTATGAAATATCGCCATCGACGATGACGTATTTCATTTCGCCTATCACTTTTTTTAAAGGCAAGCATCACGGATATCGACGACCTTTCAATGGAATAACGGATCCTCCGTGAAGAAATAAAAATAAAAAATTCCGCCATGTTGCAGCCGTAGTATAATTGCGAGTGCGGTAAATACTTACTCGGCGCAGTGACAATGCGAGGAACGATTCGAGACGGCATAATTAAAA